CTTTCTGCTTCTTCGGCCCGCTCAGCTTGTCTATGTGTACTATAGGCTTCTTGACTGGTCTAAGAATGTTCTTTGTAGTGTGCCTCACTCAAGAGTGTTTCACAGCAGTCTTTACCCTTTATATATTTGTAGTGAATGTGGTCAGATTCTGAGAGTCCCGGAAGTTATTTTGAGTTATTTACTTCCTGTTTTACAGGGTTTCCAGGCAGAATGGAGTGTTCAGTTTTCCTTAGCATATCCTGTTTTTTCATGTCTTTGTAAACTACTGCCCTAAAAATCTTGTTGTTTCATCTACCTTTTACATCATATGTCATAAGTAGTTTCTCTTCCAAAATGAAAAGCTTTTTTTTTTTCCTAATAGGAAAATGCTGCATAGACAAGGTAGACACAGTATACCTATGGACCACTTTGACCAGGCAATTTAGCTTACTTGCTGAATTTCAGGTCAGTGAGAAACCCTGAAAAAGATGGGTAAGGAATAATACCCAAGCTTGTCCTCTTGTCTACACATACACAAACACACACACAGAGAGAGAAATTTACTTGTACCAACTCAAGGGTCTGTATATTTTAAAAAGACACTTTAGCCCTTTTAGCCTTTAACACATTGTGTTTTAATTTGCAATTTTCTGATGGTTAGTTCCATTTTATAGCCTCTTTTCATAAAGTTCCAGAGTCTATGTATAGAACATTAAAAATTCATTGGTATTGTCTTCATAGATGTAAATATTTTAATTCAAGGCACTTTACTTGGTTCCTCATCAATATTTTTGATGATTAAAATTTATGCTATATTACCCTTTCACTAATGACTTTTTGGCTAAATCTTATTTAATCTTCAGTAACTTATCTTGAAAGCATATTGCCTCTTAGAAATGTGATTATTTTCTATTCTACATAATGGTTTATAGCATCTATAAATATTATATATCAATATATAATAGTATAATACATATATATATATATATATGTGTTAAAGTTGGAATTTTAATTGTTCAAACAAATATTAAATTAGCCTGGTGCTATTAAAAGATCATGCTCTCTTAGCTTAACTGAAGTGACATTGTTATCATAATATTTACTTGTTCTTCAAAAATACCACACATGTGTCTCTATGTGTATGTGTACATATGCCTGTGAGTGTGAGTATGTATGCATGTGGTGTATGTGTGTGTCTTATGTATGTGTGAGCCAAAGAACCACCTTAGGTGTTTCAGTTTCACCCTTGTGTTTTGAGGCCATATACACCCACATACACACCCTATATAGACATGCACAGTTACAGACACAATAATAACACACAAACACACACACACAGGTCCAAACTTTTTATGATATAGAAAATAGAAAGATAGGGATTATTTGAGCTAGGAGATTCAATATCATGATGGGAAACCCACAGAAACAGCTGACTTGAGGTTATGGGAGAACATAGACTAGACTGACAGCAGAGGAGCATGCATGAGACCTAACTAGGTCCTCTCAATGTAGATAGCAGTTGTATAGCTTGGTCTGTTTGAAGGGCCTCTGGCAGTGGGATCCTGTTGCATGAGCTGGCTTTTTTGAACCCTTTTCATATGGTGGGATGCCTTGCTCAACCTTGATTCAGGGGGGAGGTATTTAGTTCTGAGAGGCTTTGTTGATTCCCCATATGAGGCCTTAGCCTTTCTGAGGAGTGGATAGGGGTGAGTGGGTTGGGGAGGAGATGGGAGGAGGGAGTATAAGGATGAAGGAACTGTGGTTGGTATGTAAAATGAGTAATTTCTTTTTTAAATTAAAAATGAAAAAAGAATAATGATAAGTGAGATCCCCCCAAAATACCACACATGTTATTATAGCAAATATGACAGCCTATTACAAATATTCCTTAAAATATGTTTGTCATCAAAATTTCCTTGATTATACTACTCTTTTGTACATCCATATAATGTTTTATAAAAAGCCTTTCAATTTCTGCACAAGATTTTCACCTACAATTTTGATTGTTTTTTATATTAATTTAGAAATTATTAAAGAAAACTAATTTATTACAATATTAGATGTTTAGTACATGAAACCAGCACATTCCTCTATTTGTTGAAATTTTCCTTAAGCTTTCCAGAATGTTGATGCTTTTCAGGGTAAAAACTTTACTTTTCTGTATAATTTATCAAGTTAATCAATAGATTATTAAAATATGTAGTTGAACAAATATTATAAGGATACTTATTTGCAGGAAGGGAACCATGATAAATCTCTTTCCCAAAAGACAGTATAACTGGCTATTGATAGAGTAGCATTGTTGTTTTAATTTGTAATTGATTGATTATATAGTCTTTGGAATTTATTTGGTTTATTGGTTCCTTGTGGATTTTTTTTTGTTTTTCCAATATATTCAGTTTTCCAGTTGATTCAGTTTCTGTTTTCTTTCATTGGATAACCTTTATGTGCAATAAGCTATGATCTTTTGATAAGTAGATACTACATATATTCCTACTTGTATTTTGTCTTAATTTTACTTAGTAGCTTTGATTTGCATAAGGTTATTATCTTTATTTCTAGAATAGTTCTTCTAATTCTGTTATATCTTTTTATAGACACAAATTTAGTTTTTCTGAGTATTTTGTATAAAATATGAGATTTGTATATAAAATGTATTTGTAAAACAGATGCTTCTTAATATTAAAAGTTACAAATATTTAAAGTTAGCAATCAGAAAACTAAGGAACAAGAAAATTAATCCTGTTTAAAACTAGGTCAAGATTAGGGTAAATCCTTACTGAAACGGATGTGTTTGTTTCATTTGCCACAGAGGATACATGAAGAGCACAGTTTTAGAATACATGTGTGTACGAAGCAGTTTTCCAGTTGAATGATTGTACCTATAGTTTTGAAGATATGAAATATTAGGTATAAACACTAATTATTTAAATAAAAGTAAAGCTTGCCCCCAAATTTACTGTGATTCCACCTTATCGAAACATCCTATGGTTGCTGACAGTCTGTGTAGCACAGTTATTACAGCCTAATTTGAAGAGGAAGAAGAGCAAAAATGTCATAAGGTCTCAGTTCACATACCCATTGTCAACAATGACTGATTGATATTTGTCAGAGGAAAATAATCAATACGCTCACATCCTAATGATAGTTCATTATTAATCTACACAAAGCATAAATTTCCTCTAATAGTTTGTGTGAAGAGGTAAAAGTGGGTTTACTTTTTGTGTTACTTATCAGTAAAAATGATACAAGTATATCTTACAAAAGCTGTAATATGATCTGACACTCAGCCATCAACCGTGTTTTGTCACCAAGCCATGATTTTATTTTCAGAAATATACATACACAATGAAATCTACAAGTCAAATAAGTTGAACAAAGATAAAATTTCAATATATATGAATATATGCATACATTCATGCATACATATGTACATATATATATACATACACACACATATATATGCATTATACATGTATGTATATATACACACACACACACACACACACATATATATATATATATACATATATATATATATATATATATATATATATACATTCATAGGATCAGTGGTGTTGAGAAATTAGTATTTTCCACAGTCTTGAGAGTAATAGAAAAGTCATCAATTTCATTTATTTCACTATGACAAAAAGTGCTATTAAAGTTGAAACTATTCCCTTGTATTAGTTTTAATTTTTGACTTTATGTAGTAAATAGCTTAGTTCTTGCTTTTGCTAGGTTTTTTTTTACCCAGGAGTTTGAGCAACTATTGGAACATTTAATGGTTGTATTGTCTTTCACCATCATGCAACGAACTATTCTAAGCATTTTTTTAAGAATTACTTTGGTTAATTCTTAGATTAACATTGTGTCTGCATTATCTCCAGTCTATGAAGAAGGAACTGAAAGTTAGGGAAAACTGGACTAGTATCTTAGGCAAGAGAAAAAACAGGATTTAAATCTAAATGCCTAATATTAGGACAATATTTAATTTATAGCATATTTCTCACAAAGGTGTTTGGTATCTAATAATTCCAATGTTATCTGTACTTAAATCTTAGATGGTAATAGCAGTGATATGCAGTAGAAATGAGAGATTAATTAAAGCAATAAATTTTCAAAATCCATCCATGATGGTTAATATATATTAAGCTTTCCATGAAAATAACCAGCAGTCATTGATAGTTTACTCTCATCCAAATGTCATGATAACTTTTCAGTCTGATCATCACTAACTGCTTCACCTTTTTACAGTGAACCTCACAAACTATAGCTATAAAAAATGACTGTCTTACCAATTATCCTTGTAAATAAATGTGTCTTTGCAATATTATCCTTAATTCAAACTAAAATCAAATATAGTAGAAGACATTATTGCTATATCAATAAAATATAGTTTAACTTGGTTTTAATTCATTGTATTCTGTTAGAATAAATCACAATTACTTGGGGAAGATTTGGTTATATACCTACTTCTGGAGCAGGATAATTTGGTTAATATCTTTGTAATGATGCAGAGGATCTATGCTTGCCATACATATTTAGTAAATGCAAAGTTACATGAAGTTTGTGCTCCTTGTCTTCGATCAGTTGAAGTATACATATGTGTAAGTGTGGGTAAGGCTTTTTGTGTGTTTGGTTTTGTGTTCTTTTGATATAGGGTCTTATTCTATAGTCCTTTCTACCTTGATCTTGCACATGACCAAGGTTAACTCATGGCAATTCACCTGCTTCAGTCACATATATGCTGGTATTACAATTGTGAGATACCACATTTGGTTTTGGGATATATTTTGCATTCATAAAAGGCCTTAGTATTTGTAATTTTTTAAAACATCATATTACTCAATGATTTCTAATGTGTTAATTGTATCTTAATATACCATTTATGTAATTTTAATATCTTGTTAAACAAATAGATCAGCAAATTGCTATAGTACCATTTTTATATATCTTTGCCATTTTTAATGTATACCTTGACAATTGTTAATCTTTTACTTTTTTCACCTTTCAGGTCTCCAGAGTTTTGCCTGAAAAACAAGAAGAACTTGAGGTTCATACAAAAGATTTCGGGCAACTTGAAGAGCAGCTAGATCTCCTGCTTCTGTGGCTCTCTCCTATTAGGAATCAATTGGAAATTTATAGCCAAGCCAGTCAAACCGGATCATTGGACCTAAAGGTGTGTGGCTCTAGCTTTATATTTCCATTTCTGGAAGAATGACTTAATGACAGCTTTGAGTTTCTCACTGGGTACTTTGAATTTTATCTCTCCTTAAAGCAGAACAAGGACAATGTTGCTTAGATCATCACAACAAACACAGAAATCTGTAACATGGGATTTAGAGAGGAGACTTGAAATTGGAAGCTTGTCTGAGTTCCAAATGGGGAAGTAGAAATTGTTTGCACAGGACTATGACTTGGGTGGATACAACTGGGGTAAAAGAAAGTTCTGGATAAATGAACAGGGATCTCTCTAATGACAGAGTAAGCAGACAGCATGTGCAGGATGCTAGAGAACAAAAAATCTAATCAAGTGAAAGGGGGGGTCTGTTAAGAGTAGGTTTTTCCCTGCAGGCCTGGGCCCACTGCTGCGCCAACCCCAAATAACATGCAGAGACTCTGTATTAGATATAAAGCTGTTGGCCAGTTACTTGTTTTTTATCGGCGAGCTCTTTCTCAAATATTAACCTATTTCTATTAAACTAAGTATGTCCACATGGTCTCATCTTACTAGAGAGAGGGTCCAGACCTATGTTCTTTCCAGTCTCTACATGCTGACTCCTCCCTACTACTTCCTTGAATCCTTCTTGTCTCCTAGTCCCACCTATCTTGCCTTCCTTTTGGCCAACAGTGCTTTATTCATTAATCAATAATGGAAACATATTTACAGAATGACATCTCCCATAAGGGGTCAGATTTGGAGGTATTTCTTGGTAAACTAATTTAGTAGGGTTCAGTTTTGTTTTGTTTTATCAGAAAGAATAAACATAGGGCTAGAGAAGTCCCAAAAGCCTTACTAAACTTTTGTCACCATTACCATTAAAACTATTGTGATAATCAATATTTCACCAGCGTTTTCTACTTCTTTCAGAATTTGCTGGATATGACTATATTAAATTAATCACTATAATGTTATCAGCCAATTTGTTCGTATCAGTTTCCATCTCTACTTTACATGCACTTAATTGGCAAATATTTGTAGGAATCTTGCCTAAAACTTATTCTTATCTAAAATTGTCATCCTAAATATTTGAGAAAGATGTGCTTAAAATAAGAAATAAAATTAAGAGAGAGATTTAGAAGTTTGTTCTAGCTAAATTGAGTTATATTTGCAAAGTACAATGTTTCTCTTTTCCCTTGCTTCCTCTTGATGTTTTTTATTGATCACTCTGATAGCTGTGCACTGAAAACACATGGTACTTTGTAAGTCACAGGTAAATATCATTTCCCTAGTACAAAACTCAGCCTGTTCAATCACTGCCATGGTCCTCAATTCAGTTAGGCAATCGAATATATGAGTAGTAATAACCTACACCAGTAACAAATTAATATATATATATATATATATATATATATATATATGTATGTATGTATATATCAAGTAACAATACAGCCTGTCCATCAACAATATATTGGAGATCCTGAAATAGGGTTTAGATATGGCTTCTGATGCCTGACTCACCTTACCCTTGAGTCATGCATGCTCACAAGGAGTGACTGGATAAAGCTCATCTTCAAATCAGAGAAACCACCTGTTCTAGAATTTTGTTTTTTTTTTTTTTTTCATTTAGCTAATATATAATATCCTCAGACATGGTTGACACTAATGCAGTTACCAATTCTACTTTTCATTGACTCTGGTTTCTTCATTACTGAATAAACCCTCCCAATAAGAAAGTACAAATATTTGGCCCAAATGTACCATACCTTGAGCCAGATTTCAAATTATGCTAGACCTAGTATTTTCCTTGTCTTTGACTTCATATCACAAAAAAAGATGCAAATTTGTCCCTTTCAACTTTAATTTTGTAATTCATAGGAAAATTATGTACAGCAGAATGTTTCTTGTGAGAAAAAAAAATAATAAAATGGATAGCAGTAAGAGCTCTCTTTGTCCATGGATCATGTATAAGAGAAAAGGTAACTAAATCCCAGGACACAAATAGATAGTGTTAACTCCACCAAAGTAACTTTAGTCTGGTCTGTGATCTCCTCATCCTGTCCCCAGTTAGTTCTGGAATACCAAAAAGTCACATTAGCCATTATCAATAGCTCACAGGTTTCTAACAAATAGGTCTTACAGTGTGGGTGAAGCCACTCTCTTCTGTGTTAATGAACATCATTATCAAAGCTACATGTCGCTACTCTCACTGGTGTGCAGTGTTTTGGTGTCATTCAATTTGGGTCCTACAGCTTAGTTTAAATCACTGAGGGAAAAAACTACATCTTTCAATGCAGAACACTCTTTGGTATATTCCCTGCACACTCTGAGTGTTTCAAATTGGGAGTGTAGATTTAAAAAACACTTAGGATTCTTTCTTCTACTTCACCAGTATCCAGGGCAAAAAGAACTTATGACCATGTTAATGCTAATTGGAGAGCTTCTACTAGAAACCCCAAAACCCTTGACTTTCAATCAAGCAATATGACCTCTGTTAGTAATAACCAATTATTTATCCTTCTATGTCTACCTTTATTTCTACTAATGATTTGTTAAGGTCATACCATTTTTCTTTTTCCCTTAAATTATGGATTTCATTATTTACAGCTTGCTATATACACCTCTGCTTAAAGAAATTAAATGTTTACTTTCAATTTAAAAAATGATAAAATGGGATATACTTTGCTGCACTTTACCCAAAATAAAAAAACAAAACAAATATTTTAAATTATTGGGATATCATGATAACTTTTTAACACAGGCAATTACATTGCCTTCAAAAAAATTCTACTAAAAGTCACTGAAAAGAAAGCGATATAAAATAAGCTACAGTCTGGCTCCATTTCCTCAATTTTAAGAAACTTTCTTTTTCTATCTATGGTGGTCATGGATACATCAGAAGCAAAGGGCCTGGGTTACTGCCTTTCAGGTCATTCATTTTCTCTAGTCAAATTCTGATTACTAGTTAGAAAGTAAAAGAATGTCTAATCTCTTCCACAAGCTTCAGTTTTAACTGCTAGACATCTCATGCATATTGCTGAAGTGCAGCAAGCTATATAATGAAACTCAATTTTAAATAAAGAAGAAGGAAGGAAGGATGGAGGGAAAGGGAAGGAGGGAGGGAAGGATGGAAAGATAGAAGGAAAGAAGAAAGGAAAAGCCTTAAGGGTTCTGTTCTAATACATTGTTTATTCTAGAGTGAAAATTGGCTGCACATCATTTGGTTTGTGCAATTTACTCCCAAAATATCCCTATTCAGGAAATCCTGCAAATAGCAGTATTTATCTTGAAAATCACCTCGCAGAATCCTCAGCAAGCTGAGAAACATAATCAATGAGACCGTGATGTAGAGGGTGAAAATGAGGCATAATCATAACCCTTTCCCATCAGTCAGCCTACAAGAAGGCATGCCTTTGAATCTTGATTTTCAAATGTACTCTTAATTTAGACATAAACTATGTTGATTTCAAATTTCACAAAAGATAATTGAATGCGAAGATCCAGGGCCCAGTTTAGAATTTATATAAAGGGCTTTATGCTTTTAATCTTTAATGAAAGCTTTCAATAATGAGGTAGAGGTAGACTGTTTTTTTAGCAGCCTAACTACTGCTTTGTAAAATTTTTATTGAAATAGAAGTTAGAAGAAATGGGTAATTCCCTCTGTTTAAGTTTAGTAAATGGGGTTTTTCCATATTGATGACAGAGATGGTGTTTCCTCATTCAAGAATTGCTTTTTGTCAGTGGTCTATAAATAATCCCAACCATGTTAGAAATTTAATTGTCTATAATGTCAAATCTGCAGATCAATAACAAAATCCTAATAACTTACCACTACAGTAACTAAATACCCAAATCATGTGTTAACATTTTGTAGTGAGTATTCCCACAGGCAATAAGGACTTCATCCAAACCTTATACAATGGAAGTAAGAAATTGAACTCAATTCTGTTGAAACAAGATAGGAAAGAATTGAGGATGTGGCTTAGTTGACAAGAGTGCTTGTCTTTGCATTCATGGTTTACTGAATAACAAATCAAGGATGTTAGCAAATGCCAGTAATCCCAGCACTCAGGAGGTAAAAACAGTAGAGTTTAGTTCTATATCATGAATTTGAGATCAGCCTGAGCTGAGAGGCTGACTCTGAAACAAAACAAACAAAACTAAACACACCCAAAACAATCCCCCCCCACACACAAATGTTCAGTCTTCCAAGTGCTAGATGAGTTAACAGAAAAGTACCTGAGGGTTTCTAAGGGAGGAAAATGAAAGTAATTAATCTTTCTATGTTTCTCAATTTCATGCTTTGAAATCAATCCCTAGCTTCCATAAACTTGCAGTTCAGGACACAATTTCCCTAGTGATTACATTTTAAAGGGTTAGTGTTTCAGGGGGATACATAGAGCAGATATTTGTGAGTCAGAACACGGGAGATTACATTTTAGAGGCAGAAATGAACTGCATAATAGAAGGGCTTTTGAAGTAAATATTCTTCAAAAATGGAAGTGAGATTTACAGTGAGAAAGCAGCCAGTATCAACTTTCCTCAAAGTGAGGGTAACGATACAGCAATCTTTGCGAGTTCCTATTATTTCTGGGAGCACAGGTTCTCCCTGAGCAACCTAGAAAAACCAGTACATGAAAGAGAAGATACACCAACAAAAGAGACATCATGTTCTATACCTTGAACACACCCAGTATGGTATGGTAGTAGGGACTGAACCTAGCACCTTATGCATGCTTGACCAGCTCTCTACACTGAGCTATATCTGCAAGCATCATTATATGATTGAGTTTCATATAGAGCCTCACTAACTTACCCATGCAGACCTTAAACCTGTCAGATTTCTGAGCAACTGGAATTGCAGATCTGTGTCGTCATGCTTAGTAAATGTGGTTTTTATTTTATTTATGAAGAGCTGATCTGTAATACAAGAATTTTAACAGACCTTTTAACTAAGTCCTCACTAGGATTCTATTTGTGCTATATCTATTAAAGAGCTTGCAAATGAATTCATAGCA